TTTTCCTGTTTTTTCGAATTCAATTGACAAAAAAATTTCTTGGAAAATGACCGAGAAAACCGAAAAAAATTAATTTTTCGAAAATTTTTCGCACAGCCCTGGACCAGACTAGTTATAACATGGGGAGAGACCCCTACTACAAATTTCTCCGTACCGAGACCCATCTTCGAGGTGAACGGTGTTCTAAAACTTCCATTCAAACCATCACATTTCAGATTCAATTCTAGATCTTCCAAGGAACCTCGCTATCGTCGATTACATCCGAGAATTGGACTTGTAAATTTTTCATTTTGTGGGAAAAAATATCGAAAATGGTGTCCAAGAGCGGGTTCCGTTATACCTGCTCCTTCAATAAATTTTTCGAAATCAGTTTCTCAGAATTGAAAAGAAAAACGAAAGAAAAAAGTCTCAATTGTACTTTGTTTATTTAAAAATCCAGAGTGTAGAAATCTGAAGGTGAAACACACCAAAAAATACACACGAATAATAAATAATGCAGCGGCATGCACCCGTTGGTAAAACAATCCAAAGTTCATCGGTTAAATCAATTGGGGGAGGGGAAGGAAGGGAAGGAAGAGGTTGTAGAGGCAAAAAGAATGTACAGATGAGAGAAGAGTCTTTTTAAACTCTCAATCGAAATTGATCATCATTATTATCAGCGCCTTCTGCCTCGGCGTCATTCACATCCTCATCTGGAGGACATGGAGTCGTTGATTCTTCTGTAGTCGTAGTCGTTGTGGTTGAAGGAGTTGTAGTGGTTGTAGTGTGCTCATAATTCTTTGGCATATAACAGAGACCTTGATAGCATGCTGGAGCATTCGCTGGGCAGTTGGAGCACTTTCCATTGTCTCCGGAGGCCCAGGTGAATGCGGGCATCTGAAAGAAAATGGGGGATGATGGAGGGATGTTAAGGGAAAGAGAGAAAAAGGGTTAGAACAGAACAGGTAACATAGAAGGTTCTAATAGAAGGGCATCCTTGAAATGAGCTAGGTTTTATTTAGGAGTTTATAGGTTCAGATGTGGTTTCAGGTTTTTTGCAGCTTGTTCGGAAAAAAAACCTCTAATAGAACGGCATGAGTTTCGAATCAAACTAAACAATTTTTGTCACCGAAAACATTGAAAACTGAACCGCTAGAAGCAAAAATAAAAACATAGCGGATAAACTGAAGACGATTTGTACGTTTTTCAACAATTCTCAATAGAAAAGATTGGCTTTGTTTCCATTTCATCCTTTGTGTTTTCAAAATTTGGACCTACAATTTTTGAAATCAAAGGGTGGTAGAAACGCGTCTAGAAGAAATAGAGACACAGAGGTTCTTAATGACAAGCCTAGGAATTCTCGCTTTCTGGTTGCGTGGCGCAGCCGGTAGGGCTCTAGTAGTCTGCCAGACAGGCCGCGGGTTCAAACCCACTAGAGGTTTTTTCTTTTTCTTTTTTAGACAAGTGTTTTTTCTGTGTTTTACATCCCTCTGTTTTTGCTAGAAGGTACAGGAACCCCTCTAATAGAACGGCAAATCTGGCAAATACTCAACTACTATGTATCTCAACTGCTATTTCTCAACTGCTATGGGGGGTGATCAACTGCTATGTTGGCTGTGTGTCTGAACTTCTATATTTGACTCTTCTGCTATGGATCAACTGCTATAGCCATAGCAGTTGAAACATCAAAAGAGGCGAAAATAGCAGTTGATCTTTAGCAGAAGAACCAAACATAGCAGTTGAGACACTGGCAGTTACAACATAGCAGTTGATCACCCCCATAGCAGTTGAGAAATAGCAGTAGATTTCATAGCAGTTGAGTACCTACCCACTTTGTTAACTAAAAGTTGTGGTTCTTTAGATCCGTGCCGCTCTATTAGAGCTAAATATTTTCCAAAAATTAAAACTCTCTATAAGCCTCACAACTCATTTTCTCAAGGAAAAAAGCTCAAAATGAAAGGAAGGACAAAAAACCAAATGCACTGCACTCGAATTAGGCGAAGCAACTGTTAATCGGAACTCAAAAAACACATTAATTGGAAGACATGGGACAACGAACCGCATAAAGCTGTCCTCGCGCAGTCACGAATACCGTGTTTCCCTGTGGATTGTAGTGACACACGAAGACGTTACGATGTCCACGTCCCCAAACTCCCTGAACATCCCGGCAACGAGAGAATCCACAGCCGACGAGGTTGGTCTTAGCCCAGACGACCTGAACAGAGAAAGAGATTAGTCATTTGTTCGTCTTCTTCTTCAAAGGGAATAAAGTAATTAAGAGAACCTGAACGTAGTGACCGCAGCAGTGTTTGTAGGCATGATTACATCCACATCGAGGATTGTGGACCTGAAGAAAAAATTGATGGTAATTACATTCCCATAGAATATGCGTTACCTCATTGAACCAGATTGAGATTGAATCCGAATAATTACTGTAAGGGGCCGCCCAAATGTTTTCGCCGACGTTTATACGTCCACGGGAGTGACGGAAATCACAAGTGTCCGCGTGGCGTTGAGCAGAAGCAGCAAGCTCCTCAGACCAGTACAACATGTTCATATCGGAGGCTGGGACCTAGAAAAAAAGGATCTTAGGAAAGTACAAACTAGACTTTTGTCATGACTAATCTAATGTATTGTGAATACGGCGGTCTTTGGGGTTGGGGACACGGTGGCCGTGGCCGTCAGCGTTTGCATTTAGGCGGCCACCCTCCAGAGTTAAGTGAAGAGGGTCCACCGTTTTCTCCCCTTTTTCCTCTCTTACCGCCGCCGCCTGGAGGACCCCATCAATGACTGTCGGCCCATTGCTGCGGGACCAGAACCTCTCGGCTCATCTTGTCATGTTTATTTTCGACGAAGAAGTCAACTCCAATTATCTGACCTTCGAATTATAGAGCTTCTCCGAGAACCGTATGATAGAGAATCATGTCGAATTATTTGGAATTGTTAAGAGATCATGTTTCGGAGAGTCTCTAGCAAGAGATGACTTGCACGTGGAAAGTGATTAGACACTTTAAAATTGATGGTGGACATCGGATAACATCATCCAGTAACCTAGACTTGTAATCATATCAGGAGACACGATTGTCAAACATGTTATTAACGATCATTACTCAATTGGGCTGATGAGAGATCATTTGATTTTATGGAATCGTTTCGATCCTGGATTCGTCAGTGATAGTTAGTTATTCGAAGATGCTATCTAGTTCTGTTTGTTAAATGACTGTCGATCAT